TAATAAAAAAATTTTTTTTTCCTCTCAGGTTTATTAAATGCATTTGAATATTTTATCATTGTGTACTGTTTATAAAAACAAGAGAGGGTGTGTGTAAGAAACATAATTCAAGTTAAGGATGTTAAAAATCAATTTCAGCAAGCAATTTCAGATTTACAATATTCTTTATATCAATAGACATAAAAAAGCTACTCAGAATTTTGGCTATTGAGTTAAAGTGTTCAAATAATTTCAGATATAATTTCGACAACTAATAAAGTTGATTTTGGTAACTATGAAAAACTATTTTGGCATTTTGGATTCAGCAATGATCATTTATTAAGAGAGGCAATTTCAGGTAACATGCTTAATTCAAGTCAGTATGATTTACAATGTTTGAATTTTGCTATATTTCTGACACCCAAATCTCTATGTCCAATATATAAAAGTCTTCAAGGAACACTATAAATTCTTTGGTTTTTTAATATAATATTCCATATGTGGAAAAATATAAACAAAATTTTTGACATTTTTGCCCTGCTGATCTCATTCAAAATTCACTCATTTATTCATGGATCATCTTTTTTGTTAAGAATCTCTTATAAATAAATACCTAAAACATACAGGTTATACTCCACAGTTTGTTTCCAATAAGATATTTTATATAAATAAAAACATATATACGAAATAAAAATATTAATAAACATATACCTTTCTTTAGAATCAACCAAAATGATGACATGATGAACTCTTGATTGCTTTCAAAAAAAATTTTTTTTAAATTGCATCAACAAAAAAAAAATAATAATCCATATCCATTTGTTGTATATATGCAACAAATACACTGCAATAATTAGTTGTTTTTTGTCAATCAAATAATAAACTTTATACAAAATGATCAGAATCAAAAACACAAAAAGAAGACTACAAAATCCCTAACAAAAGGAATGAGTAAGTATTATTATTTTTTATTTATTAAAAAAATAGGATGGATAATGGTAGTTGTGGTCATTGAATAACAACAAAAATAAATATTTTATTTACATGTTGTTTTGTCAAAAAATAAACAGATCAAAAGATCAAACAAGAATCAAACAATTTGTTCAATTGAAAAACCAAAAATAAGTAAGTACTATTAGAGAAGTTTATGGCTATTCTTGTTTTATTAGAAGAATGATAATTAATATTATATTATATTCTACATTGTTGTCATCCTCCTCCTAATTTTTGTAGTGTCATCACACAATCTACTATAAAACCTACTATTAGCAAAAATTTTTTAAGTTTACCTAATGAGCTTATTCTCATGATAGCATAATTACCCTGGGTAGAAGAATTACAATGAGATTAAATATATTAATGAATAGCGACGCAATTTGGAAAAAAAATTCAATGATGATTAAAGATGGCTTCTCAATTAATTGCAGAATATAAAAATTGAATTGCGACTAATTGTGGTTCCCATCTTTAATGATGATGAATATGTGCTCAATAAACATGATATGGCCTTGAGTACGTACATTAAAAAATACAAAAGTCATTTCATTATGAGAAACTATGATGCAATTGCATCTTTGCCATCAGCAGAGTTACAAAAAAATTTTATTATATGAAAATCATTAGTGTGATTTTTATTTATTTTGTTATGAATATTACTATTATTTAATTAAGTAAAAATAGAAATTAATGAGAATATGTTACAAAAAATAGTTATGGAATGACTTAGATGGTAGAATAAAGTTTGAATCCAATTTATACTGTGAATAATGTAATCATTTTTATTTGATTTTGTTTAATCGTTTTATTTGTTTATTTAGATCACATATCTAAAATATTTTTTGTTTAATAATATAAAATAGAAATAAAAGTTAAAAGACTTGTTTCTAATATTTATTCCTAATTAAATATTTGATAAAATTAACAATATTTTCACAACAACAAATCAAGATCTTTTTATCAAAAAAAAATCTATTAATAGAATTTAATAGTGGAGGCATTTGTAATGTCAGGTACTATATTACACCAGTGAAGACGATTTTACTCCTTATTTGCATTATAATATCATGAAATAATTGTAAATTGTGTATTGGTTAATAAAAAATCATCATAATTATTGCTATTAATATTCACTTTGTCTGGTTTTGTTGCAGTATGCCCCATATAAAAATAAGATATAAAATATTACTCCAGATTTTCAGGGTTATTGATCAGCGAATTAAGGTCCAATTCGCATTCCGGTGACACATTCATTATTTTAGGTAAGCTTCTAGTGCCTGAGTATCATTTATTTTGAGCAATTTTTTCACCTTGTTCCTTCTTCAAAATACTTCTAATTGTGCTGTAATTTATGGGTTCCATGGTAGACCTAATGTAAATGAGTTTCATATTAGCTATTTTTGTCTAGACAAATATCATGACACATTACACCAGTAATACAATTGTGATGTTAAACAAGCACTATTGATCCCTGAAATTCTTGGTAACACCAATGTTCACTTTGGTTTTGTTGCAGCATGCCCCAAATTAACTATGAATTTTAAATTTATTAATATTAATCATTTTACATTTTATCAAAATTATCAAAAATTTTCAAAAAAACAAATAAAAGTGGTTCACGTTTTTTTCTTGAGGTTATTGTATTTCCAGCTGACTAAATAATCTCTTACTTGGAGTGGACATTGTAGGTGCATAGTAACTAACTTTGACAAAACAGGAAATCTATTTTCATTATGTTTCACCATAAGAATGGATCATATTTTCATCCCAACTTGACTTTTTAGAATCACTCTTTACTTTGCTTTTCTTTAAAATATGTATTATTGCTTTCTCCTGTTATGGTGGCTGAAGGGTTTTCTTTCATTTTAAATGAATGGACGTGAGAAATTTTCAATCCAGTTACACAAGACATCGATTATCACTGAATATTATTATATTTGGTCAATTAATTGGTCAATGAAAAAATCAACTATCAATTAAATGGGATGGAGCAAGCAAATGCAAAAGGTTCTATCGGTACTTTTTTAATTGAGGGAAAAGATAAAGATGTTGCTAATGCAAAAGATATTTTAACTGATAAGTTTGGCCTTAAAGTATCATCATTTTTTTTGTGTGTGCTGTGTGCGTGCGCATTAAAGTTATATATATGGATGGTTTATAATTTAACAATTTACTCAATTGGTTGAATTTTTTATGTTTAGGGCAGAATCACTGTTCAAGTGCCTGCATCGGCCCGTTCTTGTTTATTAGGACCTTATGGTACACTCATACAATCAATTTCCAATTCAACTGGTGCATCTATCACAATACCATCACTTCCCAACAATCCAAAAAAAGAATCAGTAAAGTCTGAATTGAATGAGGAAATGATGGATGTAATAATTTTTGGTGAGATGTGGGCTATTTGTAAAGCAGGAGTTGAAATCCAAAACATTGTAAAATCTATGGTACGTTATGATTTATTTATTTATTTATGATTATGATTATGCTTTTTTAATCATAAATTTCATTTGTTTTGATTTTTTTTATTAATTGAGTGATTGAATGGGTTATGATTATATAGAGTGCAACAAAAAGAATACATTATATTAGACATATTGAAAATACGTTTTACCCATTGATTGCTGGTACACATAATCAACGTATAAATAAGATTAGTACTGATACTGGTACAAAAATTCATGTACCTTTTTACAATTTTGACAACCTCAACACCACATTTGCCGATATAAAAAAAAATTATATTACCATCACTGGTGATGGAAATTCAGTTAAGGTTGCAAGTAAAATGATTGAGGATCTTTATGAAGATTTGGTAGATTGTTTTAAGCTTTTTTTATACATTTTTAAATTTTTTTTTTTTGAAATTATCATACTCATATATATTCAAAACATATAGAAAATGAATACGTATGCTCTTGATGTTGACATTCCAAAACGTCAACATAGATATCTAATTGGTCCAAATAGTGCTAATCTTCATGAAATACTTGAAACAACAGGTTGCGTACTAGAA